ATTATGTTGGTGCTGGCTTGATGGGTCAAATAGTCTATTCCTGCTCTTTGTCTGGACAGAATACAATGGAGAAACCATTCCAGTTGTACAAGGATCAAGAATCAGACCAAACTCTTCATCCAAACTAGCTGTCAGGAAACGCAACATGAAAACCAGAGCTGGTTGTTGGTGAGCTCAACTCAAAAAGACTTTCATGTTGAATACCAGGCACCAACATCTTGGGCATGCTCCATGGACACCAGCCACATGCACCCCACGTCCACAGACATGGGCATCTGACAATGTGCCAGCCTCCATGAACCCTCATAGCACATGTCCAATTACTAATGCTTCACCTCAGGCTGCACCAGCAACTTACATTGTTAAGCTGCAGCTTGGACACTTTGCCCTCAAGGACACGCACCCAGCTCCTAAACTGGATCAGGCCGTATCTCTGGGTTCTTTACTCACTGTCATAGCGCTCACTCACCCTGAGCCTTTTTGCACTTTGCCTCCTCAACTAGAGATACCTGGTTCATATTACTACTGTCTTGCCATGCCATATAGCACAGACACAAAGCTAGGAAGCTTACTACAGTTTTCAGCAGTCCTCAGTCCAGGCAAGAGGATAGCATTCACTCAGGGGATCCTGGCCCAGTAAATCAAGTACAGCTTCTGACTTAGTCCAGGTTCTGCTTTAGGCAGTCAGATTCATAATCCTCTACTCATGCAGTGAGAAGCCGATGGCAGCACACCACCTGTTTTGATTCTTTTTCCCAAGTGAGTGTGTAGGCAGCGCAAAGGGCATGCAGAACAAGTGATGTTGTATTTGAAGGCAGTGAGGGTGAGTGGGAAGATGTTGCATTCATTATTAAGAGTTGTAAAGAGTGAGCATTGGTGGGAGGTGGGTGCAGTAGCAGAGATTGAGTGTGAGGTATCAGAGAGAAATGGTTGCCAGAGTGGAGGACATTGACACTGTTCCTACAGTACTGGGCATTCCTCCAGACAGCTGAGACTACTTCAACTTGGGTAGCAACCTTGCACCCGGCTGGCATGATTCTGTGTTCCTGCCTCCAACACTGGTCTTGAGGGAAGAGGAAGTACCACCTGTTCACTACCCTGTCCAGCAGCATCACCAGGACCATTCCTGCAAAGCTGTGGCAAGCAGTTTCCCCTGTCTGCCAAGTCCATGGCAAATTTCAGGAACCATGCAGGACAGCTCCAAACGGATAGTGCTTGGCCGGGTGCCTTCTAAATATGGTAGCAGTACCAGGAATGGCAGCCACGTCCGGGATCTCCATGAGTGGTGAGTTGCTCTGGGATGGGACATAGTCACATGGGGCAGAAACCGTGTGCGAGTCTTACAGGGGCTCAAATGTCGATTAGAGTAGAAAATGTGGCAAGACAGAGTGTGAAAACCCACTCAGCCTTGCGGCGAGAATTATCCACCAAACTTGACATGACTCGCACTTGGCCAAAATATAGCAAGATTCCTCCAAATGGGCTGAACTGCCCCATTCTTCATAGTAACAATTCTGTGATTCTGTGAAATAACTTATGAGTAGTGAAAAGAGACATGTTTTGTTGAAGCTTTCATTATGTACTCATCAGGATATTTCATCAGGTAGATTGTAGAGTTGGAAAGGTATATGGTGAGTATTTCAGAATTTAGAGCCTAGACAATTTAAAGTATAGCTGTTGATCACAAAGTAAAGGGATTATGGATATACATTTGTCTAGGACAATGTCAAGCATGCTGTTGAATGGAATGCCTTCAGCTGCTTTGCCTTGTTCCAAGTATGAGAACTACTTTCATCAGCAAGTATATATGAAATGAAACATGACCTATGAACATTGTACTCTGGGAAATGAAGTTCTGAGATGAAAACTAAACTTATTGACAGTAATTTTGTCATTTAGACAGACAATACGCAAGTCACATGGAATTCTACCAGTGGTGTACTATTCCTGCTAGCACAGTCAGAAGTGTATGCCTCTCTAACTTACTCCCACCATTTCCTCTGCGCTTATTGACTAGCCTCCATCTACGAACCCTATATTTCCCAATTCTAGACACATATATCGCTATTCTCTGTACCCTATGATCAACAGCCGTGCTTTCAATCTGGGCTTTAAATGCTGAAATTCATCCTTATTTCTTTCCATCTCTTCAGCTCAATCACCTTGTGTAAGACTTTCCTTACACCTGCTCTGACCAAACTTCTGATTCCCCTCTCCCTTTTTATTGTCTGATTGCACTTGTATGAAATGCCTTGGAATGTCTACTTATGTTAAAGTCACTTCGACGTGTAAATTGATGTTAAAAAAATCACTCACTTTGTTGTCAAACTTTTTGTCATCAAGATTTAAGAGAAGAGATGTAAAAGATATCACAATCAATGGATGTATGGGTAAAGAAAAGTGAGAGTGAAAGGGAATTCTAAGACAGCAGAGATAGGTGAGAGAGACTACATTCTCCAAACTGTGTAACATAGATCAACAAATATTATAAACAAAAATCATACTTCTTGCCAACTTTCACATCATTATCTCCTATGTCCCAATTTGTCCATGCAAACATGTTGCACAGTAACTGAACTCTCCCATCATCACAATTACCTATTAGCTTTTAGATTTGAGAATTTGAATGTGGACCGTTGATCAGTAAGTTTGCAGATGATATGAAAATTGGTGAGGGTAGTAAGTAGTGAGGAGGACAGCTTTAGGTTACAGAAGGATATGGACTGGCTGGTTAGATGGGCTGATCAGTGACAAATAGAATTCAATCCAGATAAATATGAGGAGATGCACAAGGGGAGGACAAACAAGGCCTCCCCTTGTGCATGAATGGTCTCGAGGAAGCACTGAGGATCAGAGGCACTGCTGTGTGCATGTCCATTGGTCCGTTAAGGTAACAGGACAGGTAGATAAAGTGGTTAAGAAGGCATTTAGTATACTTGCCTTTATTAGCTGAAATAGAGTTTAAAAGCAGGGAGGTTATGCTGGAAGTATATAAAAACTTTGTTAGGCTACAACTAGAGTACTGCGTACAGTTCTGGAATCCACATTAAAGGAGGGATGTGATTGCATTGGAGAGGATGCAGTGAGATTTAAAAGCATGTTGACTACGCTGGAGAGTTTTAACTGTGAAGGGAGATTGGACAGACTGGGGTTGTTTTCCTTGGAGCAAAGGAGACCAAGAGGGACATAATGGAAATGCGTAAAATTATGAGAGGCACACACAGGGCAGACAGGAAGAAATAGATTAATGACTGGGAGCGTAGATTTAAGGCAAGGGGCAGGAGGTTTCGAGGGATGTAAGGAAAAGTTTCTTCACCCAGAGCGTTATGGGAATATGGAAATCACTGCCTGTAAGGGTGGTAGAGGCAGAAACCCCATTAGCCCAAGGCATACAGGCTCTAGGCGCCAAGTGCTGGAAAATGGATTGATTTTTGACTAATGCAGACTTGTTGGCTGAGGGCCTTTTTTCTATGCTATAGACCTCTTTGATTTTATTCAGTTTTGTCCTGAGGTATTCTACCATGGGAAATTTTACCTCTTCATGAGTCAGTATCTAGCACAGAGCTGATAGCAACAAGAAAATGACTGTGACATTCAACACTGTTGTTTGAACTCTCAGTCTTGGCTGAGATAATATATACCTGTGAGGAAGTAATCTAGGTACAACTACAGTGCTTCAAACAATGTACCTTCACAGGAGATGAGCGCAGTGGACTACGTCCTCTGGATGAATTGCATTGGCCTGAAGGTTTGTTTCTCAACATCTTTAATAAGTATTCTACCTCAGATTTATAGAAATCTCTTTCTTGTACTATATTCTTCACAAATGTATCTAAAAGAAAAGGCGATTTATTTTGCTCATGTAAGCGCAGATGAGTTTCTCTATTTTCTGTTTCTGGAACCAATTCAAGATCTAAAATGAAACAAACAGAAAAGTTGAATGAAAAAGTGGTAAAAGCTTGTCAAATTAATTGTTTTTATTGCAATCTGCTAAGTATCATATTAGCTACTTTTATTAATTTTTTAAATATAAATTTTGTTCCGTGATCCAGGAGATTCTAATTTTTCTACTTTAAACTCCCAATTTTGGCATCGAAAATGCATAGGTGAGCAGTAAAACACTCTATTGATAGCATGAGCTAACGTCCACTTAAGTAAAGCCATTACTTGGTATTCCTCTCATTGTGTTGCCGGTACATCTTTGGATGGCCTTAAGCCTGGGGAAATGGACTGTGATCAGCCGAAATTATTTCACATAGACTTTTTAGGGTGTCAATAAAAGATCTTCATTCCAACTCACATTTGGGCTCAAATCTAGATCCCAGCAATCAAAGTGATAACAGTTCCCTACCCAATTCTTCCATTTGAAAATGACAGTTTTATCTGTTCTGTCATGTGGGACCAAATTAATTATTTTCATATAAAATGTGGAAACACAACCACAAAAAGAACAGGACAGACCTTCGCAGTCTAGGGAATTGGGGAACGAAGGGATAGTGGTCCACTGTGATTCTCAGTTCAAATCTTTTAGAGTTTTTTGAAGAGGTAACGAAGAGGATAGATAAGGGTAGGGCAGTGGATGTTGTCTGTATGGACTTTAGTAAGGCCTTTGACAAGGTCCCACAAGGCAAGCCAGTCACGAAAGTTAGGTCACATGGGATCCAGGGAATGATAGCTAATTGGATTTAAAATTGGCTCAATGGTAGGAAGCAGAGGGTGATGGTTGAAGGTTGTTTCTCAGATTGGAGACCTGCGTCAAGTGTGTACCACAGGAGTCGGTGCTGGGACCTTTGTTATTTGTTATTTACATAAATGATCTGGATGTGAATGTACAAAGCATGATTATTAAGTTTGCAGATGATACAAAATTAGGAGGTATTGTTGATAGGGTCATCAAAAATTACAGAAGGATCTTGATGAGATGGGGAAGTGAGCAGAGGATTGGCAAATGCAATTCAATGCAGATAAGTGTGAAGTGTTGCATTTTGGAAAGTCAAACCAAGGTGGGACTTATACAGTAAATGGTAAGGTCCTGAAGAGTGTTGTGGAACAGAGGGACCTAGGAGTACAAGTACATAGTTCATTGAAAGTGGTGTCACAGGTAGACAGGTTGGTGAATAAGGCACTTGGCATGCTGGCCTTCATCGGTCGAGACATTGAAAATAGAGTTGGAATGTTATGTTACAGTTGTATAAGTCGTTCGTGAGGCTGCACTTGGAGTATTGTGTACAGTTTTGGTCACCCTGATATAGGAAAGACATAGTTAAACTGGAACGTGTGCAAAGAAGATTTACGAGGATGTTGCTAGGGCTAGTAGGCCTGAGTTATAGGGAGAGGTTGGACAGGATAGGACTTTATTCCTTGGAATGTAGGAGAATGAGGGGTGACCTTATGGAGGTGTATAAAATGATGAGGGGCTTAGATAGGATAAATGCATATAGTCTTTTTCCCAGGGATGCAGAATTGAAAACTAGAGGCCATTGATTTAAGGCGAGAGGGGATAGATTTAAGAAGGACCTGAGGGGCAACTTCTTCAAGCTGAGAGTGGTGCATATATGGAATGGGCTGCCAGAGAAAGTGGTTGAGGCAGGTACAATAGCAACATTTAAAAAACATTTGGGTAGGTACATGGATGAGAAGGGTTTAGAAGGAGATAGACCAAATGCGGGCAATTGGAACTAGCTGGGTGGGCACCATGGTCAGCATGGATCAGTTTAGGCAAAAGGGCCTGTTTCCATGCTTTATTACTCTATGACTCTAAGTTATGCTGGTTATTCACTGAGTTAGAGTGGGTATTAACTGGCATAACATTTCCTGGCCATGCATCCAGCCATGTCCTATGTATCTCGTCCATGTGTCTGGCATTGAGCTCAGTGCTGGAGATGGTTGAAGGATCCAGGGAAGTGCAAACAAGTCCCTTGGAAATTTAAACATCTTGGACAATTTCAGCACACATGTAAATGTCAGCATATCCTCAGAGTTCTAATGCACAACTCAGATTTAAATTCAGATTTTTCTGCTCTGGACATTGGAAGATTTGGGCCAATGAATAAATAAATACTTAATCAATGAAATTATTGCATTACCTTCTCTAAAAATAGCAACACTGAAATACTGAAATAAAAAGGCAATTTTTATAAACACATATCTTGGAAAAGTCTACACTAAAAAGAGATAGCAATCATTTCACAAATTTTTTAGGCTTAGTGTACCTATAATTCTAAATTAACACTCTTTGTATGTTCCTTTTCTAAATATTACTTGCTCACACAAATTATCAATCTCGTAAATGGGTCTAAATGTCAAGGGAGTTAGCAAGCAATCTGACAGCAACGTGCCAGATTGAATAAGCCGGTTATCATTGACCAGAAATTCAACTGGACTCACCATATAAACACAGTGGCTACAAGAAAAGGTCAGAAGCTAGGAATACTGCAGCGAGTAAGTCATCTCCTGACTCCTCAAAGACTGTCCACCATTTACTAGGCTCAAGTCAGGAGTATGATGGAATATTCCCCACTTGCATGGATGAGAGCAGCCCCAAAAACGCTCAAGAAGCTTAACACCACCCAGGACAAAGCAGCCCGCTTGATTGGCACTACATTCACAAGCATCCACTCTCTCCACCACCAACACTCAGTAGCAGCAGTGTGTACTATTTACAAGATGCACTGCAGAAATTCACCAAAGATCCTCAGGCAGCACCTTCCAAACCCATGACCATTCCCATCTAGAAGGACAAGGGCAGCAGATACATGAGAACACCACCACATTCAAGTTCCCCTCCAAGCCACTCACCGTCCTGACTTAGAAATATATTGCCGTTCCTTCACTGTCGCTTGGTCCTGGAATTCCCTCCCTAATGGCATTGTGGGTCAACCCATAGCAGGTGGATTACAGCAGTTCAACAAGGCATCTCACCACCATCTTCTCAAGGGCAACTAGGGACGGGCAATAAATGCTGGCCAGTCAATGACACGCATATCCCACAAATGAATAAAAATGTTACTTACTACCAAGAAGCATTACTTTCTTATTATCACTAATCGTCTGTTTTCCACAAGTAAGTGCATGATATCATACAGTTAGGGTATATTAATAATGTAATAAAAGATAAAAGAAAAATGTCACTCAGACTAATAAAAACCTAAATATCCATCAAAAATGAGATGGTATTGTTTCTTTCAGGATATCATAGCCAGTAGTTACCCTAGAGTAGATTAATAAAACAAGTTTGTATTGTACTACTGCAAAGCAGAATAAATTGAAACTTTCCTGGCACACTGTTTCATTATCTGACCAATAGCGTATTTCGTATGGCATAAAAATTTGTTATTTGTAGGTTTCTTTTCCCATTTCTCTTGAAAACACTGGTCCTATAGCATGGAATCAAGGACACCAGCAGTCTTTGCCCATTTTTTGGACAGTAAGTAAGACAAGCTACCTGACTACAAAAACTCAAAAGTCAAGCTGATTATGCTGTCATTTGATGACAATGTGCATAGCCTCTCCAGCATGAGTTACTGGATTTCAATCAGGAATATCAACTTTGGGCTAAGGTTTACTTTTCTCCAGCATTGTTGGGCCACCAACATCATACAGGTTGCAAGTAGCTAACTTTACACAGAACAAGCATTACACCACAGAAATTCTTGGCCTAAACACCTCCTCCACATGACATCAGGAAATGTAATTGCTATCCAAGCTATCTAGAACCCCAAAATAGACAATTGTCATGATTTAAAACTTCAATAGCTAAATAATTTTGCTACCCAGAAGTTGTGAATTTAAAAAAAATTAAACGGTCTTTCCAAATAACAGCCAACCTGTATCTAGGAGCTTCTGAGCTTTATTTTGTTGGCACCTCTCAAAGTGAATTAATGCCCCATTGCTCCCTTCAGCCTTCGCCTGTAATTCTGCTCTAATTTCCTCAAGTTGCTGCTTGGATTTTGCTGTATCCTGGAGAAGGGGAAGAAGTAACTTTTAAAAAGTGGTGATTAATATAACATATCTAATATTTTAAAACTTGTTACTTGTTACAAAATAACAATTGAATTTTCTGTCGATCTAAACTCTTGCCCAATTCCAAGGCAAATTGGACGCAACAAACTTGCAAAGTCAGATTCAGTAAAATAAAAGCTTGGCTCTGATCTTTGTATCTGGTTTAATAGAGATTTTTTGAGAAAGAACTCACGTTCTTCAAGAAACCTGGCCAAACTAGTAGAAATCTAGCTTGTTAAAGCCCTAAGCAAGCTTAGTTAGATTCAATCTTTGAGTCTGGAAATAATGACCATTATTATTAATACTACAATCACACTAAATCAGCTTCAATTTTGAGTCTTCAAAATTACATAACACCACTTACAGATCTGAGTTTTACGATGGCTTGCTCCAACAAAACAATGTCCCTTTCTTGCTTTTCAATTTCAATCTATTATAAAGATATTCAATTATTATACTTCAACAATACAGTACCATCTAAAATTGTCTGTAAAATGATCACATTTGTTCCATGTATTTCAAGTAAGTGGTGCCTGCATCGTAATGCAGGTTACGCATACCAAAAGTTACATAACATGCAATATATACACAATTACCTATGATGCATGTACCTGCATTATGAGGTAACATAATTATGTCACCTTTCATTACCTTTTAAGGCATGAATATCCATATAAAATGAAATTGTTGCAGAGCTCCAAATAGGTTATTTGCAATGATTAGATATAACATGAAATAATATATGTACTTAAATGCTTCTTTAACAACTGCAGTCCATGTGTTGTGGGTATAGGAACATTAGAAATAGGAGCAGGAGTAGGCCAACTGGCCCATCGAACCTGCTCCACCATTCAATAAGATCATGGCTGATCTTTTTGCGCACTCAGCTCCACTTACTTGCCCACTCACCAT